TCTGTGATCTCTCTGCAATAAAAAGTCAAGGCGAAACAATATAATTAACGAGATACTCGAAGAACGGCAGAGGCGGGCGCGGAGAACGCGTAATCGTGGCACGAATAGAGGGAAGAAAAGGGGAGAGAAGAGACGAGAAGAGTAGAGAAAGAGTAGGAAAAAGGGGAACGCATCGGTTTTCGCCACCCTTAGTCATCGCGTAGGCGCGTATCGAGCGAAGATTCCGGTTTGTTTCCTGCCTGACGGGATTTAGCCGGCTTTCAAGCGCCTCCCCACCGATACACGGGGGACGGTGTTTTCGCGAACGCGGTTTCTTTCGATCGTTAGGGAGAATTCGAACGAGCTACTTCGCCGAGCGACTCGCACGAGTCTCGTACGGTGTCCTTGCGAAACGATCTTCGTCGAAAATCGTCGCGGCATCGTCGACGAAACCTAACCTAGAGAACGGTCCTGTCGCGAAATCGGCCGAGAACGAAGGTTCGATTCGAAAGGGGGTACTACCGCGATTCGTGATCACGCGATTTCGAGAGGCTCGCGTAACGTCACCAGCCGGCTATCCCTCTCGCGATAATTATTTAGATTGGCGCGCGTCGAGGGCTCTTTCGCGATTCCCCGTGTACGCGTACAAACGAACCAGCTTACGCTTCGCCTCGTGCACGCTCCCTCGAAAAAGAATCGCGCGTTTCTACGGGAAACGACGAACACCGATGGACCCCGATCTTGTCTCACGGCGAACAATCAAATTTTTTCTGCGGAGCGACGTTAACGAATCTGTATGCCCGTTCGCGCGAAAACTCGACATGCAAGATATAACGCGAGTCGGCTACTCACTGGCTATACACGACCACGTATAAAAAAGGAGAAGAAGAACAAGAGAGCTTATTAAAAATTGACGAGGTACTTCGAGTAGAGGAAATCGCTTGGCGACAACGGCGATACCGAGCGACGACAGGTGTAGCCATCGTCGAACGGAGTAATCGTTTTTTCGCGTCAACGCGATATTCTATCGGAGAGAAAGCGTATAAAGGCACGGAACGGCCGGAAAGAAGCTGTAGTTCGTTTCCTGTCCGGTCTACGCTAAAAAAAAGAACAAAAATATGATCTCGTAATAATAACGACGTTAACCTTTTCGCGATCGCGAATCCGTACAGTGGGCCAATCGCTGCCGACCATCGACTCGATCGAATTACCGGTCGCTTGGGTCGATTTAAGCCAAGATTTACTAATCTTATCGTAAGATTACGATATCGACAGGAAACCGATTAAGCGAAAGCTTCGACGATATCGCGAGAAATCGAGAAAAGTTCGTTGTTTCTCGCGGTTCTACGAAAGCTGTGGATAGACTGTGCCGGTTATCGACGGTCTCGGACAAGGGCTCGCGTTTTCCTGGCAGAACCGTGGAAAGAATGTTCGTCGATGCGGCGCAGAGTATCGTCCAAGTTTTCAACGCGATACCGGCACGTGGCAAGAATTTCCAACGGAACGAGAGAGATTTCGTATTAGCAATTCTGATCACGAGCTCGCGTCGAGCTACGCGAACGCGTCTCGTAAACCGACAAATTTCGTCGAACGAATAACGACCAAACGAAACGCTCGACGATTTTCTTTCGGCTAACACAGAGGGTAGTACAGAGGGTAGAACGATGGTCCATGTCTTTCGTCGAACGTTTATATCGCGAAACACAATTTCTTAACAACGATCGTTAACGGTATAACGCTCTAAATTAGTTACTTCGTTAACGTTGCGAACTTTGATCGGTCGAAAATACGTTGGAAAATTATCCGAGTTTTAAGGAAATCAATTTTTTCGACAAACATCGAACAGAGAGTTCGGTTCGGGGCAAAAGTTTGTTCGATATAAAAACGTTTATCGGCGAATCCGCGAAACTTCTTGCTCGGCCGTGTCTGTTGACCGATCGATCGAATCTCGAAGATCGATCCGTGGACGGAAGCGCTCGCGTTACTTTCGAGGACGGCCGGTCCTCGTTGCTCGACATCGACGAAAAGGTCGAGCGACGTGCTCTATCGAACGACGCTCGATAAAACGAACGAGCCTGACAACGTTAAACGCGTACGCTCGAACGTACGGACAGGATATACCGGAGACGAACGAGCGATCGTTATTTCGTAAAAGGAGGACAGGAGAGAAAGGACAGTTCCGATACGATCGTAACGCGATCGAGACTCGGGGAATTCCAGCTTCGAGATGACGCGAAACGAAGGAAAGAAATAGGAACGTTAAAAAGAGGCAAAGACGAAAGAAGAGGTGGGAGTGCGAGGGCGACGGGGAGAAAAGCAGAGAGGAGAGGGCTAGTAAGGCAGCAGCGGAGTAGGAGGGAAGAGAAGAGACGTGCACGCGTGCAGATTCGTCGGTTGGACCTAGAGGGTGAATGCCGGTGGCAAGAAGAAAGGTGGATACGGAGGTGAAAGTAGCGAGGATAGAGCTCGGGCCAGAGGGGAGAAACGAAGGGTGACGTTGGCTCGAACCGAGGGGGCGGTAGAGCGAGAGGGTTCGAAACGGTGGATGACGTTGGTCGGGGGCGAAGAAGGAAGGGAAATCGCAACGACGATCAATACTTCGCCACGCCTCGCGCCACCACCTATCTAGCCGGAGCGAAGCTTGACTTTCCCGACCGTTTCGTCTCTCGGTCAAGAATGAAAACCGTCCTCGATATCGTTCGATTCGCCTCGCTTTATTTTCCAACGACCCCGCGATTCGGTAGCGAGCGATCGATCGACCGATTTCCCCGTCGCCGTCGCCTGAGCACTGATGCGCCTCGCCGAATCGAGTTGAACACGGAAAAATTGCCTTTACGCGATCTTCCTCTTCGAAATTCGGAATCACCGGTGACATCGATCGGCCGGAGGCGGCGAATCGAAAGCGCTTTTGGGCTATCGCGTACACGAGGAAACGGTAGGAAGTGGCCGGCCGGGTGGTACACGTGACCCCGTTCC